CAAAACAGTTATCTTTAAAAAGCAAGCCCCACTCATTTTATGAGCCTGTCATGAGCCCAAAATTTATTTATTTATAAACTGCAATTATGGACTTCACATACAACATAGTATAGAGGCTAAGAGCAGGCTTGTCTGGACTCAAATCTTGGTTGTAAACATATGCAAGTTATATAACCACTCTCTGCCTCAGTTTTCTCATCTGTAAAATGAGAATACTACTACTTGCCAGTTGGGATGTTGTGAGAATTAAGTGGATAATACCTGGAAAGCACTTAAACCAGGTGTCCTCAAACTACAGCCCACGGGCTACATGAGGGTGTTTTTGCCTGTTTGTTTTTTTACTTCAAAATAAGATATGTGCAGTATGCATAGGAATTTGTTCGTAGTTTTTTTAAAACTATAGTCTGGCCCTCCAACAGTCTGAGGGACAGTGAACTGGACCCCTGCTTAAAAAGTTTGAGGACCCCTGACTTAAACAGTACCTAGTACAAAGTCAGTGCCTTATAAATATTATTTATTTTTATTATTATGGAACTAGTGCATTAATCCACTAGGAACTTTAACCACATCAGACCAATCTGGCTCAACTTTTATGTAAAAAAGGTATGAGTTGTTTTACAGTTGCCTTGGACCCCCAGGTTGAAGGTCACGTAAGCAGAGCATGCCCAGAGGAACCAAGTATGCGACCTCAGGTAGAATCTAAGTGCTTAGACCGAGGAACAGGAACTGAATTATGAAGTGGACACCACACAGCAGCATCCAGGATCCCATCAGATTGAGGCCTGGTGGCACCTCACGGAGGGACCCAGTTGGAGTACATTTCCCGGCATCACCCCATCGAAAGGTCCTAGCAGATCACACTTCATTACCCTCTGACTATAAAAACCAGCCCAAACCCCTTGTCTGGGGACACACTGCTTTGGGAACTATCCCCAGGGTGCTCCTTACTCGTGCCAAGTAATTAAACTCCGTTGCTATAACTGCCTTGGCCATGTCTGCTGGCCTGATGCCCGCCAAGCAAACGAGCCCCTCTGTTAGGGAGGTGACAGGACTATTTCTCTCAAAATTAAAATATTAAAAAAAACTTAATAGAAGAGTAAAAGTGCTAACATTTTTTTCTCTTCCCCAGTTGGGTGTACACATTTCACACTGGAGTCCAGTGCCTTACACAGTAGAAACCAATTAAAAATATAATAGAAAATAATATGTCACTCAAAATATCAATCCACACCATGAAATAACTAGAAATTAAGCCAATAAAGAAAGCATACTACCTTCGCAGAGAAACTTATAAAATTTCTAAAGTTAATCAAATGAGACCTTAATGAAAGAAGACATATTAACATTGTAAAGCTATTAATTTTTTCCCTCAAGTTTATCTACAAATTTAATGTATTTATAATTAACATCTCTGCAGAATTACAGGAGGAATATAAAACATTGATTCTAAATATAACTTAAACGTTTAAACACTCATAGAAAGCTAATGTAATTTTGCAAAGGGCAACTAAAAGTGAGAACTCACCTTCCAAGGTATTAAGAATTATTAAAATATCACAGTAATAAAAATAGTATAGAACTGGGGGAGGAACAAATAGACCAAGGAAACAGAAGAGAAGGACCAAACAGACTTATACATAAATGTGAACTTTACACATAACAAAGATGCCATCACAGATAAAAGACCTCAATGTAAACATAAATGTCTTAGTCAAATTTCCCTAGGTTATGCTGCATAACAAACCATCCCAAAGTCTCAGTGGCTTTCAACAATAAACGTTTTATTTCTTACTCACAAGTTTATGATCATGTAAGAGAACTCACATTCATTTGACCAAAGGTAGTCAAATGGCCTGTCCTGACAGTGGTTTGGTGAAGTCTCTTACTCTAGAGGAAGATATGTCAAGGATGGTGTTAATATTACAGAACCACTGGGAGGAAGCAAGTGGATAATTGGGAACAATAATCAATCTAGCATAATAAAACTATAAAGTTCAGAGAAAAAAAGCATAAGAAGGTATTTTAAATGACATTGGGATGAGCTCGGATTTGGGGAAAAGTGCAAATCATAATATACAATTACATTGATAAATTTGAATAAATAAAAAGTAAAAATTTTTGTTCAGGGTAGAAAAAACAGCTAACATACGATGGATTGTGAAAGGAAATTAGCATTATACAAGAGGCGATTTTCTAAAATACGACAAGCGCTCATAAATCACTGGACGATAAACTTCAAGAGAGCAGGAATTCTGTTTCTGGCTTAATCGCTGTTGTATCTCCCCTGCTCAGACGAGCACCTGGCAACAAGCGTTACTCCTTCCTGATAAACCTCCTTACTGTTTTCCAGTCTCAAGATTTTTCCCAATTCACCCATTCTTCAAGCCGGATCTATTAGTTTCTTGTTAATGCTATAACGAATTACCACAAAGTCAATGGTAACAACACAAATTCATTCTCTCACAATGATACAGACTTATTCTCTAACTGTTCTAAAGGTCAAAACCTCAAAAATCAGTCTCACAGGACTGAAGTCGAGATTTCAGCAGGGCTGGTTCCTTCTGGGTGTTGGGGGGTAGAGATCTGTTTCCTTGCTCTTTCTCACTGCTAGAGGTCACCAACGTTCCTTCGACTGTGGCTCCTTCCTCCTCATAGGCATCAGCCTAGCGTGGTCACACCTCCTTCACTGACTCTGTTCTGTCCTCACTTCAGCTTTTCCGTCTTTGACTCTCTGGTCTCCCTCTCACGGGGCCCCTTGTGGTTACACTGGGCCCAACCCCACAATGGAGGATAATCTCCCCCATCTCAAAATCAGCAATATAATCACGCCTCTGGGGCCTTTTTGTTAGGTTAAGGAAACACATTCACAGGTTCCAGGGGTGAGGACATGAACACTTTTGGGAGGCCGTTATTCAGTCTACCACAGCAAGGTTTCTCAACCTTAGCACAGCGGACATGGTTGGCTTTGATCATTCCTTATTACGGTGGTGGCTTGTCCCCTGCATTCTAGGGCGTCTAGCAGCCTCCGCCCACTCAGTGCCAGGAGCACATCCCCCTCCCCCAGTTATGACCAAATGTCTCCCCAGGGGCAAAACTGCCCAAGGTTGAGACCCACCACTTCGTCCTAGTCTAGCGATCTTTTTGAAAGCTAATCCAATCATATGGCTCCCCTTGTAGAATTCTTTATTCATTCCCCATTATTGTTAAAATAATATGCACATTTCATGGCATATCATATTTCTCATAATATGGCTTTGCTTATTTCTCCTGGTTATTTCCCTGTCTTGCCTAGTTTTCTGTCTGCCCCTCTCTTCCTATCCTTTTGTCCTCCCAATATGCTTATAGTTCCCCAGAACATGAGGTTCTCCCACACTTCATGGCTTTGTAAATATTTTTTCCTCCATCCACCTAGAAAGCCCCATCTATTCATCATCTGATGAACTCTTACTTACTCCTCTTAAAAATCTAGCTTAGACATCTGGGAAGCTGAGGCCCTTCCTAGGTATGCTCTGAACATTTTGAGAGTTACCTCTATTAGAGACCTGGTATTTATTCCTCTTTTCCTTGAACTAGTCTGTGAGCTGTTTAGATCTCCTACCATCATCTGTATTTATGGGTTCAGCACCCTTCCTGGAACATATTAATTGTCCAACAACTGTCTTTTGAATGCTGGAGTAAATGGTGGATTTCATGCCTCAACTTGAATAAACTCTCCAGTGGCTGAGACTGATGAAGAATGTTGTTCCAAGATAGTCACAGGAGATCATTAGCTTTTATTTTTCAAAATAGAAAAGAAATGAATTCTCTTACCTTCTTTCATGGAGAGAATTTTTCAGAACAGGATTATTTTGGTTCTTTTGTGAGTATTTAATAATCAGGTAAATTTTTCTTTTTTCAAAATTAAGGTTCACGCTCAGAAGCTACTTTTACTTAATGTGTTTAAAGTTGAAAAATAAATTAGAAAGAAATCCCTTCCAAGAGAATCTGGCAAAACAAAGCTAGAATTAAAATAAACACCACAATCATGGATTTCACAACACCATGAAAAGGCTAGGCATGTCAGAGAAGTTTCCTGTATCAAGAGGGCATGGTTGATTTTGCAATTTAGATTTTGACTTTGCAGGCAGAAAACTGTCACCTAGGCATTTCCAGCCTTCACAATGTAACAAAACCAACTGATTTGCAAAGTCTCAACATTTGTTTATATGCTTCAAACAATAAAAGTGTCAAAATGGATTCTGTTGCTGTGCATTTTATTCTTCTTCTGGTAGTCTAATGTAAAAGTTTCTCTTAATGTTTAGAAACTGGAGACACTTTAGTAAATACTACCAAAAACACCTGCATATAATGCTCACTAATGATGATTTCCTCGATTCAAAGCTCAAATTAAGAAGGTGTTGAGAGAAGATGGATGCTATCTCAGTACTTGTTAACTATATTCAGGTAATTTATGTAAAACACCAAAATTAAAGAAATTTCCCCCATGCTATATTTTTATCATTCCAGCTAAAAATCTGCCCACAGACTTTGTAAGAAGGGTATAAACAAAGTTTCATTACCCAAAATATGTCAAAACATATTATGCTAAAGGAAGACTTTTAGATTGTCTTTAATTCCCACATAAGGCTGACTGAAAGGTTTTCTTTTCTCAAGTTGTTGCTAAAAATATTTGGTTCAGAGCCAGCGTAACATAATTGATGTTGCTGAAAACATTTGGCTAAAACTACGGCTTGCCTCCTTGAATCCCAAATCTGTAACCTTGAGCAAGTAACTGAACCTCTAAGTGCTTCTGTTCTTTCATGTGTAAAGTGAGGATAACAATAACAGTTCCAACCTCAAAGGGTGACTATGAGGATTGAGAGTCAATATTTGCAAACAGTTTGCCTGGCGCTTGGAAGCACTAAGTATCTGGGATTATTATTAGAGAAAACAGAGAAACTTGGTACTTTAGATTTTTCAAAGGGTTATGAACTCAGCATGGTGCATGAAACTCGACTCACCTCACAGCAATTGTGAGATCCATCCATTATTCCTTAATGGAGAATAAGCAAATAAGGGGTCCAAACTCCAGGCTGGGCTCCTGTTTATGGCCTGAATGGAGTTCTAGATTTCAGATTCAGAACATAGGTTTTGTTAATTTGTGGGTTTGGGATCCCTATACCTGCTCGTAAGTTTCATTAGCTGCCTATTTATTATCCCAGGAAAATGAATTCTATTTTTCTTTTATTCTACGTTCTCCACAATATAGTTCCCAGGAATTTTTCCAGTGTTATCTACTATTACTTCCCTGCCTGACACTCTGCTTTAATCACTGTGTCTCAAATACAACACATCACATATCTTCCCTGCTTAGACTTCCCTTAATTGCCCTTTCTACTTGCCTAGGGTCTCCGCTTCTGAAAAGACCCTCAGCTCCCATCTCTTCTCTGAGCATGTCCTAGACTACATCTCCTCTGAGTGACCTGTTGCGTCAATGCATTCCCCTAGTAGCTATATCCTTCTTTATACATAGCAAGAGATCTGTCTTCCTTTTATTACATTTTGTAATGCCACTAACTCTAACTACATGGTAATTTCTTTGAGTACAACAGCCTAGTTTGCTGGGCTCCACTTACCCAACGATCACAGGTTTGTCAACAATCCCACACCAAGCCCCAGGGACCGGGGGCGGGGGAGAGCCACAGCGCATGCGCCGCAGGGGCCGCCCCACCCCCGAGGTGGGCGGGGCCGGGCGGGGCGGGACGCGCGCGAGATTTGAAGTTGGTCTCCGCGGCGTCGGTGCGCGCGCGGAGGTTAAGTTGCAGCACCTGTCCTCGGCAGGCCCTGCCGCGACTGGGCCACGGTGCCGGCCGAGGAGATGGTGGAAGGGCCGGGTTGTACTCTGAATGGAGAGAAAATTCGGGCGCGGGTGCTCCCGGGCCAGGCGGTGACCGGCGTGCGGGGAAGCGCTCTGCCGAGCCTGGAGGGCCGCGCGCTGCCGCACGCTGCGGCCTCTTCCCAGGTGAGCTACCTGTAACTGGCCATGGTGCCAGCAGGGGGGACGTGGAATAAAGACCCCATCAGGTTTCCAAGGTCCAGAGTGTCATCTCTTTGTTCTGGTCCAGGTCCCCTGGGGCCCCGCCTTTCCCAAAGTTTACCTTCACTTTCTGGGAGGGAGAAGCTCCCTAGAACGCATGCGTGGGACGGGACTGCTGGCGCGCTGGGCTGGTAACCGCCTGAGCCAGACGCCCAGGGGAGAATCCACTGAAGGTGTTTTGTTCCGTGTCACCTTGCTTCATGACTTAGCAAAAGGTGGTTTCTTATGTCTACGAGCTGCATTTTCCACTGTCGACGTCATCAAATCTCTGCAACCTCTGATATGTTTTTTCCTGCCCATTTTTAAGATGATAAGCTTTTAGCATAAAATTCTAGGACCTTGCTTGCCTAATGTTCTGTAAGTGGTAAATATATCACAACCAATATATAATTCTAAAATTGCACATAGAAAATTTAGCACTAACTTCCCACTCAACTTAATATTGCCATCTATTAATAATGAAGGGGCAGTGGAACCCAGTTCTGGTTCCCTTAAGTGAATTTATTTCTTTTTAACGTAAGTTGTAGCACAGCTTCTTGCCACTCACGCATTCATTGCAGGTGGTGTGATAGTGCTTTGGTAAGACCTTGTGCTAAAAATATTCTGATTAAGCTATCATGCTTTAAAAGCCCTGTAGATGTGTGGAGGATTGTATTTCATGGATATATGCAATATTGGGCTGTATTTCGATTTCTCCTGCAAAGCTTCCTTCTAGCCCTTAGTCCTGGAAGAAAAAGTTGCCTGCTATGAAATTAGCATATGCTTACAATGTGAAAGAATTAAAGTTCTAAGTCTGAGAAAGCACATTTCAAACTTGGAAAAAGAGTAAGTTTTAGGCCGGGCGCTGTGGCTCACGCCTGTAATCCTAGCTCTTGGGAGGCCGAGGCGGGCGGATTGCTCAAGGTCAGGAGTTCAAAACCAGCCTGAGCGAGACCCCGTCTCTACTATAAATAGAAAGAAATTAATTGGCCAACTGATATATATATATAAAAAAAATTAGCCGGGCATGGTGGCGCATGCCTGTAGTCCCAGCTACCCGGGAGGCTCTGGCAGAAGGATTGCTTGAGCCCAGGAGTTTGAGGTTGCTGTGAGCTAGGCTGACACCACGGCACTCACTCTAGCCTGGGCAACAAAGCGAGACTCTGTCTCAAAAAAAAAAAAAAAAGAGTAAGTTTTGTATCTCCTTCCAATTGCCATTTAATTTTACTTATTTTGACTTGCTATGCCAGTATGTACTCTGTACCTATTTTTTTTAATTATAGTGTTTCTCAACATCATTTTAGGGTACCACATTGATACCCTGTGATATTTTAGATAGTTTCATAAGAATATTAATGTTTATGAAAATCATTCAACAAAATTTTGAATATTCAAGGCACCTGGGGAGTGAAAACAAACACCCTTGTGGAGCTGATACTTTAGTTGGGAAGATCATACAGACATTCTTTAAATATTATAATAGCATAAAGAAAACCTATACAGCTGGAAAAGGGAGAATGAGATTGAAGGGAGATGGTTTGAATTACATCTGGATTGGGGTGTATGAGGCAGACCATGGAGAGCTTTGTGAACCAGATTAGGGACTTTTTATTTATTCTAGGAGTCTTTGGGGTGTGATAACATTCATTTACACTTTGCAAAGATCCCTCTACTTGAAAAGGAAAGCCAGAGTAGACACTGCTCCCTGAGTTAGGGGACATCAACAGTAATCCAGGTAAGGAATTTGGACTCAAGTTCTGGTGGATGAGCTGAAGACAAGGGAAAAGAATCATTGTGTCAGAAGTAAAGGCACTAGGGCGTGGCAATGGATATGATATGAATATATTTATGGATATTGTAACTTGTAGTATTCAACAATAATGTATTTTGTGTTAGGTTTTATGCTAGCTCCTTGGGGATACAAAGATGAATGAGATAAGACTCGTGCTATGAAAATCCAACCTAATGTTTTAAATAAATTATATCATCTCATTAGTATTTGGGCAAAATAGCATAAACATTTCCTTTTAAGTTTGCTATGCTTATCTCTGGTGGCAAGGCATGAAGTGCCTTTACATCTCATTCAGCTATGAGAAAGAATAACCCCGTGATAAATGATTTACCTTATTCTACAGACAAGGGATGTGAGGCTGAGTGAGTTTACATCAGTTGCCTACGATCACATGACTAGTAAGGGTCTGAACCAGTGTGTGTGCTCTCTTCTTTTAAGACTCCAGAGCCTGCCTTCTTAGTCATGCTTAGTATAGCTCCTCTGTGTAATAGAAGATTCAACAGGGTAGTGGCTGATACAATGGTAGGAACACTACAATACTCAGCATGTAGTGGAGGTTATTTATTAACTAGAGAAGTTCAATCTCAGGGTTTTGGCTGTGTCTGCTACCATTTTTAGTTTTGTTCAATGTAGTCAATTCTTTTACCTACTCTGTTAATTCTCTTCTAACAGCTTCCATTCCCATATTCAGGTTGCGCAAAAGAGTGCAGCCTGATAATATAAATGCCTCATTAAAGATTGGGCAATTATTAACATAACTTGGCAGCAGTACCCAATAAGTTGTACTCCACATATGCAAAAAACAAACTCCAGCATCTAAAGCTATTGTGTTTGATACCTTTATAGAGATATTAAAATTGGAATAGGTCTTTGTGATTAGGATCAGGAATCTGGTTCTCTGGACATTGGATTTGAAAATCATTATGGAATGAATAATCTTTCTGTGGCTGTTGATAAACTTCTAAATAACTTGCTCTGTCTTCATTTTCTTTGATCTAGAAAAGAAAATAAAAGTAACCTTTTGTAAACATGAATGATCTTTTGCATGTTAGAGAGATGTTGGATCCATAGTAAATTTCATTAAAACATGGTAGGTTATCACAAACCTTTAGCATTACTGTAGCAGATGATCCCATGTTTCCTAGGCATTTATGCCAGAGAGTTAAAGTTATTTCAATGTTTCTACGACTGGCTTGAGATGATTAGTTTTCATAAGGCACCATTTAAAAATAATTTAATAACTGCATACTATATTCTTTACCATGTGGTAGACATGAAAAAAAATTACAAATGAGAGCTAAAGGAAAATTAGTTGGGCATTTAAAATAAAAGATTTAAACTTCAGATAATCATTGTAGCAAAAAACAAACCAAAAACCCTACCTCAGTAGCTACTGCCATAATGAACCAGTTACTTTATCATATAGCATTCCTCTTTGTTCCAGTGTAAAGTTCATGGAGAACACACTTTAATGTATGTTTCCCTGTGACAACTAATCCTCATTTTGAAAAACAAAGCTTAGCTATAGAAGATCACAGTGTCTGCTAGTCACTTATGCACTATATTATTTCTCTGAGTTTTGATCCACTGTCTTGTCAGCATAAAATTATGCAACTGTGTAAGCAAATTGCATAAAACTCTGCTGGAGACTGTGGAATCTTATGGTAAGAAACAATATTGGAATGTAAATGAACATGTCTGGAAAATGGGCTTCAAAGAGTCAATCCTCCAATTTTAATTGTTGGGTGGATATAATATTTTAGTGAAATCATATGTAATCTGCATGTGTTTTCAATCTCCTTTCACAAAACAGGATATGAAACAGTTTATAAGCATTCATTTTATTTGAAACATGATCTGATTATTGTCATCACTTCTTAAGATTTGATACATGTATGAGTATGCTATCTACTCTTACTCATTTTTGTATATACTTCACAGTGTCACGAGCAGAGTAGACTTTTAATAAAGTTGAATGGCTGGAGAAGAGAAAGTAGTTTTGAGTAGTGCAAAATGATTAAGGATTTAGAAATAAGTTCCATTTAGAATCTTTCATTATGAGTATGTGTGTATTTTGTTGTACAGGTTATGTGGAAATTCCTACTACATGAAAATAATGAAACCTCATAATAAAAATTTTCTTCCTATCTTCTTAAGATTAGAAAAAAAATCATAGCTCGTTTTATTGCCATTATTTAAAGGAATGAGCTAATCCACAGAGATTCTTTTTCCAGCTAAATGAAGCTCATTCCTTTAAGTATCCAAAGGAGTTTTCTAAATAATTTATAGAACATGCATTATATGCTTCCCTACTTTCTTAAATGGATATAGATAATGATTTCTCTTTAATGACTCAGGATCATTATTATCAACATCTAACATTATACAAAATCATGAAACAAGCTGTAACAGAGAACAGGTAGCATTCTACAGATGAGGAAACTAAAGGAGGTGATTCTCCATGGTCGTTGTAGCTTTTTATCCAAGATTATTCAGTGTGCTATAGAGAAAAGAACATCTGATCTTGATTTTGAATTCTCATTCCTTTGTTACTTCCCCATCCCAAGATGCCTGTTCTCACATCTTAGTTTATTTGGTCAGAATTAAATTGAAGGACATATAAAACTATTGCTTAGTGTCTAGCAAACTAAATATCCTGATAATTGTTTTTTACCTGGATCAGAGCTTTCTCACCAGATCCATTTATCTGAGGAACACCCTATTTTTATGAAGGGTTTGTAGTCATTTGTTGCCTTCAAATAAGGTACAAAGTATTTAGTGTCTGGTTAAGTGCTTAAAGGTTCTGCTCTTACAAAATTGTAGAGTATGTTTGGATGTATGGACCCAAACACTTCTATTTTGGTGCTTAGGAACCATTTTAAAATTAAGTTCTTTGATGATTGGGACTGGTAGATAAATGATCTCTGATTAAGAAAAGGGTTGTTGTATTAGGGGGAAAAAGCATGTGGAGAAAATGAAGGAGAGACTATGAAAGTAAATACGGTATTTTCTTCTCTGTGAGGAAACATTTATCTATAGAAAAGTGTTATTCTGCTCTGAAAAGTTTATCCTCCTCGTTCACCCATGGATAGTCAGGATAAATGGTAATCAGCACAATAAATCATGTGCTGTCTCTGAAAATATATGTTGTTTT